TGAATTTAGTATTTGTTATGTATTTATGATTACGACTATTGCATAGATTACGACCGCTACCCAGAAAGGTTTGTAACTCGGTGGAAGATCAAGGTTACTTTATGTTTTGATATCATTTATGTCAAAGCTCATCCGACCGCCAATAGTTTGGGATTCTCAATTAATGATGTACCCGTGGAGGAAAAAAGGTCGAGTGATAACGATATCTGATAATGGTGGGCATGTGGTGCACGCATTAGCGTGCGTAACCCAACTGGTGGCATATGAGCCGTTAAGAAGGCGAGGGCAAGCGGGGTCTCGGCAGTGTGAGAGATAAGAGCACGGTCCCAGGAAAGGACAAGTACGGGTTAGAGTCCCGTCCGAGACTGGAGTTTTGCCCACTAATCGCCAACCTTGTGAGACCTTCGCTACGCGCGCTGCGGCGTTAAAACAGCAGTTAACAAAACATCAAGTTAAAACAAGTTATATTTTGGTATTCTGTTATTTGGGAATTATTGCTAAATTCCTTAGTCCAGTGAAAGAATTTTCTCCTAGGACATTGTCATGCACCGATGGATACCAATCACGAAGGGGATGTTTTCGAATTTCAAAATTATAGGGAAGAGGATTTTTGTTCACTTCCCTATAATTCTGAGAGTGAGTGCAGTAAAACTTCGTTCACTCAGGTGGCGTCGGACTGAAAGTGCGTTCAAAAACGGAACTCCAGCGATTTTATCCATCTGGTAGTGTTGTGTACAGCATCGTGTGCCCGCTTCAATGAAACCCTCGAGCGTCGTCCAGAAAGCATTCGGATTGGAACTCAAGAAGGAATTGGCAACATACCGGATCAAGTTTGACCCTGCCTATTCTCTTGTCAATTCAGCTCTCTTCGAATGCAATAGAAGACCCGAACCTGACCAGGCCCTTCTACTCTGATGAAAAGAACATCAATGTAGATGGTCCGAGTGTTCGACGACCTGCAGGAGGAAAAATCTGATTGTGTCCTCTCGTTTAAAATTCGGTCGGAGGTGACAGAACTGACCATTATCAAAAACATGTGGGGGGATAACCTTTTTTCACGATGATAATAAATTCCTTATAGAATGGCAAAGTCGTGGTCGCGAAGTTGCCGTAGAGCCCACGGAGCATCCTTATACCCTGGTTGCCGAGGGGTTCGATTACCGCTGTCTCGACAGCATTGAAAGCCTTTTTGAAATCGATGAACGCAAGACATAACGGCATTCTGTCTCTCCCGGTAATACAAAAAGTATCGCGGGAACACAAAATGCCGTTAAGCCTTGCATTCATCTTTTTGAAGACTCTTTCTGCATATATTAGGTTGGAAGATAAGTCCTGCAATACTTTGAACGAGGTTTTGAATTTTATATTTCTTCACCAAACGAAACCTTCAATCTACAATATAATCACCATTCTTATCTAGGACACGTGCATTCTTTCGGGCAGCTTCTCTTTCGTTCTTTTCCAGAATTCCGGTGGCCGCGATGAAAAAAAGTGGTCCAATTCATTTTCAAGTTGACGACGGTCAACAAATTCTTTCTCCCTTAGATGGTCCCTCAGCGCTCTGAATAGGTGATGGCCAGAGGGTGCTAGGTCTGGTAAGTAAGCCAGATGCAACAGTACTTCGTATCCAAGTTCCATAATTTTTTGACGCGTTTCGTTGGCCTCATTCGGGCTTGCGTTATCGTAGAGTAGGAAGACATTGAGACTTTTCGGGCGTAACTTCCGCATTACGTCAGCCAATTCTTGCAACGCAGACCGTGGCCGTCACTGTAGTGCCACTGTTTAGCGTAGTCCAATAGATCATTCCACCGCGGCCACCAACAACACAATAAAACCCTCTTCTTATGAAGGTCTGCTTTGGGTTCCCAATTTGGCTTTTCTCCTCGTGCAACCCAGTGGCGCTCACGCGTATTGTTTAGAAAAGCACCCGCTCGTCTCGTCAGACAGGCTTAGTTCATGAGAAACCTTTTCACGAGCCCTTTTATTTTTTTTTCGAAATCCTACAGGAACACTCTACAGCAATCGGGCGCGGAAACATTTGGAAAGGGGATTTGGTTTTTTCTTGGAGGAATGTTTTCAGTGTTGCAGGACTTATCTTCCAACCCAATATTATGTTCTACATCGTTGCTTAGAGGATACCCTAACGTTCTGCCCCACACACCCCAGCAGAATGAACTCACAGGAGGAATGGCGGAGTGAGCAACTTATCTGCTTGTAAACTTTGTCTAAATGCTGTTGTTCGTAGCAGTCGATGAACTCTAAAGTCTGAAATGTTGGCGATACCGAAGGAGGAATGTTCTATCATTTTGCTTCGCGCGTAACTCAGCAAGCTTATTGGCGAAACTACTCATTTACGAACTGAACCACTGTTTATTTACAAACCGTCCTCCAAAAGCCAGTACTGTTTATCTTGTATGAAGAAAGTGGATAAGAGGAAATAATGTTTTAAGTACTGATATACTAATTTGAGGGAGAAGCAGTATCCGAAATTGTTGTCAACTCACACTTGTACAAATAGGGATTTCAACAAGAAATCCTAAACAGCAAATAACTGCAATAAGACGTGAGTTCAGATGACGATTTCTTGAATGTAGTACATTCATTACAGACGAAGCAAGCATCTCAACCCTGAAAACGTTGTTTCAAGGTCGCTTGCTAATTATACATCCAACTGAAAAGCCATGTACTTTTAGGTTCTACTTCATCTTATTGAGGGGATGGATACTAGGTGCGTATCGAATGCCCTACCTTTTACACTAATCCTTCGCACAGACGATCAGTGCCAATACCATTTGGTGAATGGTAAAGCTTAAAGTGTTCAACCACAATCAGCCCCCTTTCAAAATGCGCTTCGCTTTTCTATTTCTATTAAATTTCTATTCAAAATCGTTGCATCGTATTGGATGCGTTAAAGTCTCTGTAATGACTTGCGGTGGCCAACCAATGTACAAGTCAGTACTTTTACCTTCCCAGACGAGTCTGCGACCTTAAGAGAAGGCTTTGTTGACCTGGACGAGTATCGATCTGAGATTTGATCCTCAGACCATGCGTGTGTAATAGTGTCCCACTTGACACTACTCCCTTCCGACCCAATTGCGCTTATTTTTACACATTATATCCTCCCTGACTGAAACACCAGCTCATCCACCATCGTGCTTTTTCGTGCATGCTTGCGTTGGAATCGTTCAGCAAAGTTCCAGAAACTCGGGAACCGATAAGTTGTCATCCTAGGTCTCTTGAAAACGGAAATCTGTCCTTTGTGTCGTATGAAACTTGTGGTGCGTGTGAACTTTTGGCAGAATCCTATGTTGTGAAAAGAAACAAGTGGAAGCGAATTTGACAGCACCAGGACATCACGTAGCAAGTTGAGGTACTGATTATAGAAACCGTAAATATTCTATTTCACCGAGACTGCGTATCCTCGGATCCTGGATATTTGGTCACTTGTCGAATTCGCTGCTGTGACATACGTATGCATTGGAACATTTGAGAATGACCAGGGATGAAGGAGCGGCGCTGGACAAGCTTTTTGGACAAGTTGGACGAGTTAGCAAATATACATACTAGTCAACAAACCATTGCGTTCCTCACTTGGATGGTATCCTCACTCAAACAATGGAGGCACCATTGAAGAGTGGGCACGGGAATTTCGTTCACATGCTCTTCATATTATTTTACATGAGACTACTAAACCTTACCATATAAATTCAGCGTCCACACCCGTAAAAACGATCGTGGCAAAAAGAATGCTCATCCATAGAGGACCCCATCGCATTAATTTTGTCATACTGGGAATCACCGTGAAGACCATGTAGAAGGGATCGTTACCTGAATTTTTATTGATGTGAATCTCTCTGATAAGTTGGTGACTTCAACACAGAAGCTTTTCCTCAGAAAATTCAACACCGTAAATCTGTACATCTACTAGGTTGCCAAGAAAGTACCTCAACAACAAGTTCGAAGTGTTGAACTTCCGTATAAACAATTTGAATACGATAGCAAGGGTGATGAACTTTCAGGACATATACAAATCAGGCAAACATCATAGAGTTAACAAGGGCTTGCAAAAACAATTCGTTAAACTGCTTCACTGCGAGAAATACTAACCGTCGAATTACAGCGCACATCATTTCACAGTTTTGTGAGCATGAAGGGACCCATTATGGGTTGCTACGCACACCAAATAGTCCCAGCTATCGCCTACCCTCCCACCATCTGGCCAACACGGTTGAAGAAAGATTTACAAAATCATCACTGAGGTACCAACAGAACGACGACGCACACCGAAATCCCGCTCTAGAGACCTATCGAAAATCCAGCCGCCTCACCTGGTTCCAAGTTATTCATCAGTCTCCCGCCTGGGACGATGCCGTTTATGGTTGTCATGTTTTCCGCCTTCCCATGTATCATTTGGATGGAAAAATTTTGTAAATCTATTCTCCGAATCCGAAATGGGGGTCAGTGACTTCTTTGAGTTACACTTTCGTGACTTCTGAACAAAAGGCATCACTGGTTCGCTTGAAGATTAGAGAAGGCTGTTAATGCGTCGAAGAATTTCCTTGCCAAGCTAATACATTATATTGAGATGATGACCGTCCCCTCAATAGATTAGATCAGTCGTAAAAACCCAGACAATGTTCTAATGCACAACTTACTAGTAAGGGTGGAGATCTCTTTACCAGATGATATTGATAACAGTCCCAAAAATGAGAACAATACCATGCCAACGAGCAGTGATGTCAGGACATTCCTAGAATATGCATATTCCGGTTTGATTGTACAAGTGAATAAAACAACAAGCTAAATAATTATCATAATAATTGGAAAATAATCAGATTTATTCACATCGTAATCAGGAGTGCCGCATCACGGTAGACGTTATTACGGAAACGGCTATAGGCGGCTATGGAGAACAGTGCACCGGTGCCCACGCTTATTTCAAATAAGACTTGTTCAGCAGCAGCTGCCCACATCTGCAAAGAGTTGGGAAGTGAGTTTTTCAATATATTTTACAAATAAGTTTCATATACCTACATCTAGTGATGAAATGTTGTCAAATGCCGAGGAGAACAGAAATGTCAATCCAACACCAGCTCCTGGTAGTGAAAGACCTCGAACGAGGAGAATAAAAAGCTGAAATTAACGTTACTACAATTTTAAATTAATGCTTTCGGTCAGATGGCATTAACCTAATGTCGAAGAGCTAAAAAAATTTTCTTGCCCCACCAAGTCAAACACTTTTCAATCAAATTTTTTAAGAACTGCCTCGGAAGATCCACCCAAATTGACTCAGGGCAGGGATTTCAAAAGTACCTATAGTTCTCTCTGGAATTATAGTCGGGTTAGAAAATGGTTTCACTAATCAGTCTAATTGTAAGAGCCACCGAGTCAAACTAAGTCCAGCTGCAGAGTTCAAAAAGGTGCTCCTTCATCTGGTCGCCATTATTTCATACACACTCTTGCGATCTCTTACATTGAATTGATTTTCATTACGCAGTCACGTCGTAGGTGACGATTTTTTGAGTGGGTTTTTCTGTGATATCCACTTTTCATTTTGAGCAATAGTAAAGCATGTCCATGATGTCGTTCGCTACGGTCGCGAGGCCTCTGCGCACATCAATCCGCCATCGAAGCTCGTACTCACTCAAGAAGTGTGAGATGGTTGCAGGCGTTACTGTAGTAAAGCTACTTCAGCGCAGAATAGCGTGGGTGGTAGAGAGGGGGTAAAAAGCGTCCCATCTATTTTTCTCAAACATTGATAAGTATTGCTCTCAGCAGAGGCTAGGAAAATGTCATCGCAAATCTTCTCTTCAAGAAAAGCCATCACGATACCCATAAAGGTGACAGGGAGGCGTACTGTTGCCCAGCGACGACCATATCTCATTTCGAACATTAGTGGCAGAACGACTATAATAGCAGTAATTAGTCAGAAAGCTCCCGTTGCACATTGTTCAGTCGATGATAATTTACTTTCAACGAAGAAGTGGAATGCCGATCAACTGTAATATTAATATATCAACAGAGCATTTTTCTTTCCATCTGCGCGGTGGTTCTGCTTTGACGCTGTCGCGATTAAAATGCTTTCAAGGTTGAAAGGCAGAATTCTCTCGAAATTTTGAGACAATCTGAAGATTGGGGCTAATATGCTCTCTGCCTCTGCGACTCTTATTTTAGAAATAATTCCATGTGTAACTGCATCGATCTAAGATAAAAAAGAATACTTACCATAAGGTAGGGTATAGTGGCAGTGATACGAGTCGCCCACGCCATCCATGTGGTACTGCGACAAACGCCTGCAAACACCAATAGCCATGCGGCCGTAAGGGCAAGAACGATGTGGCGTTGAGGTAATGTGAGGATAAGCTTAGTATAGCTTGTTAGGGAGAGGATGTCAAGGCTGAAATAGTAGCATTAACTGGCAAAAGAATTCAAAAGGTGAAAAATCCTAAAGCGGAATTCAAGCAACTAAATGAAAAATATTCTTCTTCATTTTTTCGAATTGGACGTTGGTCTCAGCTTCTCATGCAAGTGGTTGAGGTGTACATAGGGTTAGAGAGCAATTCGAGTGTACGGCTAGGGCCCCTGAGATTAACACGTTGGCGACCATGCGTCCCGATGCCAGGACTTTTTGGCTCGCTGGGGTATTTATATCATTTATCGTGTGTTCCTATAATTTTTCATGTTTTCATCAGCTGAGCTCACAGCCTTCTAGAGAATCTTGAAGCATTGCGGTCCAGGAATCATTCATTTCTAACTTCAGATATAAGAGAATATAAAGGTTAATGTAAGGAATATATAAAAGCGCGGTCGCCAATGGGTTAAGCGCTTCGTTTCAGGTGCGCTACCTGCTAAAAGAGAAATAGCCGTTCGTGGGATGCCCAAATTCCACAGCTCCTAAGCTCCTAGATAGTAGGCATGTCGAGCAGCCTATGTGAAGGACACCAGTGATTTCACGAAAACCGCACAAAGGCTAAACTGTCCGCTGTTTTGGGGCTCGTAAAGTGAACGCGTGCCTCCCACGTTGCAACACTTTTTGGTAATCAAAAGAAACCTCAAACTGATTAGATGCGTTCACAACAATTCTTTCCTTTATATAAGCGGTCCAACCCTATCTAATTCGTTAGGATGGGTGGGATCACTCACTGGAAGAATATCTCGGCTGGAGTGAGCGTCTTGTTCATTAGAGGACCGAAATCGACAGCCGCATCTTCAGCAGTTATGCCTGAAATTGATGAGTTAAAAGCGCATATCATTACAAACCAACAGATATCATTTGAAGGTTCGTCATCATGGCTGCCACTTTGTTTTGAAGANGAGGACCGAAATGACAGCCGCATCTTCAGCAGTTATGCCTGAAATTGATGAGTTAAAAGCGCATATCATTACAAACCAACAGATATCATTTGAAGGTTCGTCATCATGGCTGCCACTTTGTTTTGAAGACTAAGCAACTTCACAGTGCGAAATTTTCGCCCTGAGTATGAGTTTGCCAGAATATCAAAAAGAACGTGGGAGTAAGCTGAAAACAATTCCACGCTTGATCAGCTGATCATGATCAGCTGTCCAATGACTTATTCTAACTGGCCCAAAACTTGAACGACAACCTTTTCTGCTCCCTCTCCATCCCCTGTACTTGTAAAACACCCACAGGAAGAGGTCAGGCGACATTTATAATAAGTTATCGGTAAACTAGAACACTTCTCAACATTCCAAAACATTGTTTGCTTTTACCCCTTCTCCTCACATGACTATCACTCTATTTTTCCTGAAGTCAAGGTTAGAACACCTCCGTCGCGAATTCTGCGAGACATGCTTGACCACATCAGGAATGTCCGACAGCCAACGAAAGGTCTGGGGAAGTGACCGCATATTTGATTCTAGGAGCTTAGCATAACTCGATTTTCCCATGGCAGATCTTCATTTATCATCACAGAAAGCACTGAATACCATAGATATTGAAGTGACCAGACAAGAATAGTGTTATGGTAGATGATTACAGGAATGGCAGCGAACACAAAGGCCCATCCTAGACCTGAAAATAACTGGCATTAATAGAAATAAGCATCTAATCATCTTGATGAGTGACTACTTGAATTCATTCTTCAGGACTAGTAAAGACAAATTTCTAGGATCTCCCATGAATTCGACTCGACACTTTCCCAATGGTTTCAGCGATTAGGAGGTATCAGTGATGGATGCTCGTCATGTTGCCCAAGCCTGATTCCTCGTACCAGGAAAAAGCGGTAAGTCAATTTTGGTCAGTTTCTTGAATCAATTTACTAAGAACGACCTTGAAATTCAATTCCCTCATAATTTACAACTGGGATGGGATAAAAACTTTTGCGAAATCAGGAAAATAATGTTCTTACCACACGTAATAGGCATGAGACGTTGAAATGCAATGTCAGCTGTTTGACCTGCGTATTGCCCGATACACAGATGGAGGTAGACCATGGGAAAACCAATAAAAATCTGACAAAATATATACGGAAGAAAGAATATACCTGAAACGAGCGTTACTGTGCAATAACGTCTGAAGCGGTTCTTTTCTAGAAGAAATTTTTGCTAGAATCTCGATACGACATGGTATTTGTTCTTCATGGCATTGATTAGCGTCTCTTTAGGACTTTAATCAGCTTTTGCACAAAATGAGCCACTGCGCTGGACTCCCATTCAAATTTGTAGTAGCGTTTGAATGGCTGCTTAGCTATTGCGCACGTTACAAGAACCGGAGGGTGGGTTCTCCCTCACAAGTATGTAAGGGAAATGACAGAGCCCGCGGAGATGGAGGCTTGGTAGGGTCATAGAATCGCTATGATGAATCCTCCCTGACAAGGCGTGTGGTAATTCGCCATTCGGGTGTTCCTCACTGTCACCCTTTATTAGCCTATTTACTTCATCCAAAACAATTTTTGAAAAAAAAACTGTTGACACCTTGCCCATAAATACGATACCCTGATGAATAACGTGAATCATTTTTCGATCTTGACACAATTTGGTCCCACTTTTGTGCCACAACCTTTTACCAAATTTGTCAAAAACAAGTTTTTAGCGAATTCGCTGAGAAATTGACGTCGGTGTCAAAAGTGAAGGTCATGTTCATGGTCACTGTACTTGATAGCCCCTTGTACAGAGTTCAGCCTAAGTTGATGGAAACAGATGTCCCCTGGGTAATGAGACTGGAACTTGAAGTGAAGTAGACTTCGTTTCTTATCCCTCTAAAAGAGGAAGGGGTAGGGCCGAGTGGGGCACCAACACCATGATCCAGAGATTGGATTCTGAATTGATAAATCTGAGTGAAAAACGAAAACCTCCATATTCGCAGATTTTCCCTGGAAATCGCATCATGTTGCCAATTCCGACGATGAATCCCAAACATGTTAACGACATATCGGTCTAAAATCAAGGACAGAGAAGTAAGCTGAAGTGACATATGGCTAATGTGCTGTTTTTTCACGTTGAATACGTTTTAATGACACCAAAATGGAAGCTGCATAGTTTTAGCTCTAGAGGAGACATTCAAAGTATATGCAAATTGTGCGAGCGGTCGCAAAGCGGCTATGCTCGTGTGAATTAAAGTAGCGTTTTGCTTGGAACTATAGTTGTGTGTATGTATGGTCAATAGGATCCGGGGCGATACATAACAGGAAAGACTCAGTCGTATACCTGAGATTTCCAGAGATGTCGTACTTCACTACTTCCGCTGAGATAGTCTTCACTTTTTCGATGAATTGCAAATTGTTCCCACCATCGTGGTTCATTGCCTATGGCACGTGTAGGAAGGATCGTCTCGATGGGGCCTGACTGAAATCGTTAGTATAAAGTATTTTAAAGTTTCAAAAGTCATTACATGGATAGTCGCATCAGTTCTTCACCAAAAACGCTGTGTGTTAACTGGTCTGACACTCAGGCGTGCATTTGCGAGTGCGGTCATTTGCCTTGCTATCCAGGCCCGCTAATTTCTTCAGTACTGTAGCCAAAGACGTACTTTGTAGCCAGCCTGGTTACATTTTTACGTTGGTTCCCTCCCACCCCCCTCCCCCTGGCCCCTCGGTACATCAGATTTGAAAGCTTTCATCCCGAATCAGACTACTTTTTCAATAAACAGCTGTGTAAACTCCTCAGTCTACGAGTTCTTGTGTACCGAAAAAACTTACCGTGCTTGGTACAGATATGACAGTAGGTAGGCTAATTGTCGACAATGTATCGCGAAGTTGTTTCTGTTTCCTCCGTTTTTTGTCTCGAGATGACGTCCTGAAGAGGATAAATGGAAAAGTGAAGGGTAACAGCGGTGGATCTTGACCTTCTTGGTACTTCATTTGATGGTGGGATAAAAAAGCTCTTTCTGTGTATCTCCCTGAGTGAAATTTGCTACCCGGGTTGAACGACTTTGACAAGCGACCTTTTGAATTACAGTCATTGTCAACGAATCAGTGAAAGTCTATTGATCGGTTTTTGCATGACGTCACCGACCTGTTCAATATCCGTTCCGTTTCATCTGCATGGCAAACGCATTCCAAGTAGAACTGAGCTGCATAATTAGCATCTGAGGCGACAAGCTCTCGTAATTTGACGATCCTTATGTCCATTTCCTTAAGAGAGAATAGAAATTACCTATTCTCTCTCAAAGTTTTCCAAGAATACGAAATGGGCCTATTGCATGGCGCAACCAGGAGAAAAATCACTAAGTTTTAGTCTCAGTAATCCTGGCTCATCTTTATTTTCATGAACACCGTAAATGCTTTTAGGAATTGTTTAAGTTCTGTGAAGATTCTTGAGACTCATGTGAAGCTCCGCTCGGCTGTATCAAAGTTAATCAAGAATTAGTGTACTAAATGTAGTTGTCATGCGCAACGCTTTACTAACTTTAGACTAAGACTTTTAATTCCCAGGTCCTTTACGTTGCGTGATTACTTCAGGCCCACTAAGGGAGGTCATCATTGTGGGGAACTCCGCCCACTGTAGGTTTCTCAAATGTCCTAGCCGCTGGATTGCTATCAATCGTTTACTATCGCTTCTGATTTTTTTCTGAGATTTTCAATCAGTGGGTCTCATTTCCAAGTCGTTGCAAGTGGTGAGGGGGCAATGATAATGTGGTCAGTAATATTTAATATTAAAGTCATAAGTAAGTACGCTAGTGCATTAACTAACCGCTGTTCGGGAGCGAATTGAATCTCGATTGCATCGTCGATGAAGATCGTTACGTCTCGCAAGGGCCTCAATCTGAAGTCGAAGTGCTGCTTTCCATTCGGACCCATCCATCCTGGATAGGTCTGTCTGAATGAAAATAAGATTTGACTCAATTATGCGACCTCAATACGTAGACAATCGATTGCACACAAGTAACGCTTTTTGAAGCTGCTGCGCCACTGCGCGCTCAAGTTGCAATGTTTCGAACACAACCAGAGTAAATCAATCACTACTTTAAAAGTGCTGAATCGAAATAGAGACTTTATGGGCACCCTGGCTTTTTTTTGGCCCTTATGATCCCTTTTTTTCAATCTACAAATGTCTGAAGGGACAAAAATCCGGCAACCCTGGCTTCTTTATCGATTGGCTTTGTTGGTCGTTACGAAGATTTTGAGCCAAAACTCTTTCAATCGCCGTTACCATACAGTACCAAAGCTTCATGTTCAATGTTTCACTCATCCTCAAACAAATTCAAAAATACTTAGCGAACCATCTCTTACCGTTGAGCAGCAGCGTCAAGAGCAATACAAGGAATGAGAAAAGAAGCGGCATGAAAAAAAAAATGGTAGGACGAAAGAGAAGGTTGGTAAAACCTATGAAAAGAATATCGGTCAGAGAGAGAACCGCGAGAGAGGGAAGTGGTATAGAGGGGAGAAGTAAAGCCATAACGGAGTTAACGCAGACAATGGAAAAAGGGTCTCGAGAAGCTCAGAGAAGCAAGTGTAAAAAAAACGTTATAGAGGGAAAGAGAAAGGCTGAAATAGGGAGGCTAGGAAAGGCAAAAGAATCGGGAATTCTGAAGGATTAAGTAGATAGAGTGCACCAAAAAGTGCCTCTTCAAGGGAGCACTACAGGACGTAGGCTGTGAGCTTGTCCCTCTGGGAAACGCCATGCGTACGACTTTCGACCGGCTTAACAACTTAAGACGTTTGAATGCATACATGACCTTACATTGTTTTCTGGTAGCAGTGAATTTTCTGCACAGTGCCTTTAGACTCTAAGATGAGCCCTTCATTGGGTATCTACCCCGAAAAATAAGAACCTGGATTGGTCTGCGAGATTAAGGCCTAAAACCGATCCATGGACCACGTGAGCAGTAGTGGCGTCTCTATACCCTTTGCTTTGGACAGGCCAAAATTTTGTGCTCACAGGATTGCCGTGGCCAAAAGGCAGATCGGTCACAGTGAACAAGTAGGCATACAGTTTTTTATCACTCGTAGGGAAATTGCAGTAATGCAGACTTTAGTAGCTGTAAGCAGAACGAAAAATAGGAAATGAAGTGAGTCAATGATTTTATATATTCTATCATCGTTACAGCAGTAGTTCTGAATTTGTCAGGTAGGTTAGGCTACGTCACAACGTAACACCTTCATTCGACAAAGGCAAGACAGATTGGTCAAAGTGACGAAGTAAACATCGGGAGAATCCTACATATGCGTAATTGCCGAATCATTGGCGTTCCTTGATGTGTCACTAGAATGGCTCGAAGGTTTCTGATTTACACCCTGCATTCGGCTAACAAGCCCTCTCTTCATTTGTTACAATCGTCCTCGTAGGAACCCATATTTGGAACGAGGGGCATTGGCGAAAGGGGTCACTTAGAAGACCGTGCAAAGCAAGCTAACACCTTGACACTATTTTTACAGGGCCAGTTAATCGTTGTGTAAACGATAAAATAGGTAATCGTACTCTTGTACCACTAATTGTAAGATCCCGAGCAGGTGTCAAACACATAGCGCTTCCAAAAGTGGCTGCGTAATTACGACTGGTTTATACTTTACAAGGAAATGGTTTATACTTTATGTTATTCAAGGAAAGTGGAGACCTTAAATCAAGGGTTAGATAGCTCTCAAAATTATGTAGGGGGTAGTTTTCCATTACTGAACACGAAGCGAAATGACCGACCACCACATAGTTTTCCTCCTTCCGAGCAGAAAGAAGAGGGTAATGGTTAGTCGGTCGAAGTTTTTGTCATGCTTTTATTATTTAATCGAAGCTAGGCCGTTCTACCCTTTAGAGTGAGAGGACGGGCTTTTTTGGTGTCATTCGATCTCGTATTTGGGATGCGCCACGCATTTGACTTCCATAAAAAATCTTACCATTAGTATTAAGTAGCGCTTGAATGCGTAATGGCCTATATTTGAAGCGCTGTCGTCAGCCAACCTAAAAGTCAGTGCTTTTTCCCTCCAGGTAGTCTCTATTCTCAATTTACCGACCCCAGAGGACCGAATTACCTAGGCGAACGTCAACAGAAGATTTGTTTCTGGATCATGCGTGTGATATTTCGCCTTTTGGCGTTAAATTTCTCTACTTCTGACGAAAGATAGTTCTATTTTTGTAACAAACACACAAAGCGAACGCTATGACACGTAAATACCAGCGGATACATTAGCCAATTACCGGTTTTGTAAATTATAAATATGCAATTGAGTAGATTTGAACTAATTCAGTTTTATAATGCTGGTTATGGAACGATGAAGTGGAATTGGTTGATTCTGAAAATCGCAGGAGAAAATGTCATTTCATTTTTATGCGTTTTTTAATGGCTGGATTCATAGCTCGGCTGGGTGGTAGTTCGGAAAAAGGGGAAATCTGCTTCTTAAAAAAACACACTGACCATTCGAACACATTGTTTGATCGCAATCGGGCAAGAGGGCTTTCAGAGAAAGTCTTACAATCAGTCTTGCATTTTGGAAAGAATCAGAAGCATGGCGTACTTCAAAAAAAGTAGCGCACGAAAATAACTTCAACCGAAACTTCAAGGTGCTCACAGTTGTTGTTTGTTTGAACGAGCTTAATAGTGCGAGGATGTTTGATTAACCTATATGGTTACGCCACATAGGTAACTACCGAACAATATCAGTGAAATGATTGAATCCTCACCCTATCTGCATTTTTAGTTTCTTGTCACTATGAGAGAATATTGAGAGAAGCAAAACGAAAAAGACAAGCATACAATTCTAACTGCTGCAACCGAATGAGTTTGGCTCCCGAACGAAGTAAATAAGACAAAATGTTCTTGAAAATCCTCATTTTGCAGAATGTGATGATCTTGGTTGATGACGTGACTCTCAAAAAATGACGAATGCATGGCGCGTAGCGGAAAGATTAATATGTGAAGGAGGTACGCCATTATTTCAAAAACTGGCAATGAGCGTAAGAGTCGTACAGCCCCTCACGGAGGTCACTTACTTTACTGGAATTTTCCTCAATCCAAATGACAACAAACTTTCAAACGATACTACTATTAATATGAACATTTTACCAGTTACCGCTGGGTTAACAATTACAGAAAAAGCAAAAAAACCGGCCTCATGGCAGGCAACGACAGACGAGAACTTCGCAAGCGACACAGCCTACGAAACAGGTTCTTCGGTCGGTGAGACGCTCCTTTACGTCAAGTCGTCTTTAGTGAAATAGCCGTTGTATGTCGGTCATGACACCTGCATCGATAATACAATTATCACATTTATTTGAAAGATATTTACATTTTTTAGGAATGATATCACCTGAATAGAGCCCAGACGACAAGACTCTGCCTGCGTGTCTGCCCGCAGAAGCAATCGATTATGTGTGCGAACGTGCGCGGAAGGACGTGTTAAACGTGTCAAAACACGAAACTGATCCCAGCAATCATGTGAAACGATGGCCTCGACCTGTTCTATCAAGACCAACATGTTCCTACACGTTAGTATAAGAATGGTCCCGACCCGATCAGGCGAGGTTCGCTCTCGCACAGCGTTGCGACTCCGTCTGTTAGTGGCATAGTATAAATGAATGCATATCTCGAAGATGGGATACTGTTGCAAGGTGTCTCCTACAGTTCTGCACTGTAATTTAAAGTTGTTTTTGTTAAACTGTTATAATAAATAATTTGTATGGATTGTACTCTTGTATTAGAACTAATATGGTACCCAAAAAGCTTAGATCATGCTGAAATTCGGGTATGGGTAGGCGAAACTCTGAAAATTCCACTGTCACCGTTCGTAACCACTAATCTAGGACATTGTGGGCAGTTCAACGAAACATTGATTTACGTTCTAGGAAATAAGACGTGAAAACTTGGCAGAAGTAGCTTTCTTACAAGAAGATGGGGAAGTTAGTAACATGTATTGCACTACCTCCAAATGTGAACCGCAAATGCAACCGCGTCACAAGGCGGAATCCCACGTCACCGTCACGAGTAGTCCTATCAGACTTGTAAGAAGGGGGGTTCCCATCACCTACGTTCCTATTGAACAGTCGTATACCGTGAAGAGACCTTGGCACGTTCTTTTCTTTGCCAATTGATACATCAATTATACATTTTACATAGTTATCAGTTTCTGCCGTCAACCATCCACGATCTCGACCAGTTCCACGTTACCTACCAGTGTCAAGGTTCCCCTGTTGAGACAGAGGTATATCCATCCTGTGGCTCCTGCCTTTAGGAATTCCCTCCCTTATCAGCCCTATCAGTCCTTTTTACTTCCGATCACCTACCAGTGTTCCCATGCTGCCACCTGTGTCCCTACCAAATTTAAGGGCTAAGGCTGGAGGAACCAAAGTTATGAGCTTCCGGTTGAAAGCACTAGTACGTAGTACCATAACCGATTCCCGTCAACTCCCTCAACAACACGGGTTTAACCTCATTCCCGAGCTGGCAGCTTCGTGAAAAAAAGGCGTGTTGAGGCTGCAGTGTCCGCAGGCCCATTGCACTCATGTGATACCGTAATCCAAAATTTCTGCTGCGTTTTACAAGCGCGTTGGTCGATGTGCAGCCGATCGGCATGACGTGAGACTTCTTTTGGTGCATAAAGTGGTTACTTGTTAAGATTGTCTTCATGTCTTTTTCCCCTTCATGCTACCAATTTAATTTACAACCTCGCAGCTTTTGTTTAAAACATCAAGTTCGACTTTGTCTAATTCCGTCAATGTGCAGATTATTTTGAGCAAAAATTTCTTGACAGTTATTTGTTCATTTCTTTTGAAGGCGTATTTGCTCAATGTCCAATAGGGTAGGATCATGGGATATTTTGTATTGAATGGGTCAATAATCGATTTGTATCAGTTCGTTTTATGACACAAATCCAGCTATTGATCCACTGCTAACATGCTGCCATTACGTAATATGCAGCTGTTCCCACCACTTCTTTTATCATCAGCTCTTTATATCAACATTACAGATTCCGATGTGGTTACTGCTGCTTACTTTGTTCTCTTTGCCCTAGCTAATATCTATTCCTTTTCACTTTTCGCTAATACCAGTCCTTGAGCTAGGTTTTCTCAAACCCATTTCTTGCCCTGAATTCTTTGCAGGATCATCCACTGTGTCCTTCTAGTTGTTAGATTAATTTTAAATTGGGGATTCTCCTTGAAGTTAGCCATGGAATAAACCAATTCCGCAGTATATTTAGGTCGTAATTTTTAAAACATAAAAAAAACTTGTACGAGCGGCTAAGTTCGAGGTGGGGCTTCAAGGATAGCTAAAAACGAAGACTTTCAAGGTAACATTTTCGGATGGAAAATGGTTTGTGAAAGACTTCCTAAGTAAATTGATAACCTTATTTAATAAAAGATAAGGTGGCAATCAAAAAGGGGATTGGACAGGGTGGCTATGTCATCTCAGAAGGACTTTATTTTGCATCATCACCGATAGCCATTTCATCGGTCCTCGCTTGAATCCGGTTTTTTCTCTGGAAACTCTGACCTGTTGTTTACGAGTTTTCCTGGAATGGTATTAAAACGACGTCATTCGTATGGGTGTGTTGATTACGTATCGATTTATTCATACAATTGTATTCTTTCTTGCTTACAGTTGCCGAATTCTTCGAGCCGGTGAATGGGGTACTAACATAATCAATGATATAATCATTATTTGTGTACTAACTATGGTCGGATTTTCACCTTGTGTCAAGGAGAATCTCTATACATCACCGCGCCCCGAAGACGATCCAAAAGTGGCCGTAAATTCCATCAACGCCCCACAAGCAGATGCAGCATGTGTGAGTATTTCTTAGATAATTTTTTTCTGTTGTTTATAATGTGATGACACAACCAAAAGGGTTCGAAAGGGTCAAAAGGAAAGTACTGTTATGCTGTGAACTGCAAACTGAAGAATTAAACTTATTTTATCTTTATTCTGTAGAAGGTCAAGAAGTGCTTGTTCTTGGGGCACACCAGTGTCTGTTTTAGGATCAAGAAAGGTCCAGGGTCCCTGCTCTTCATTAATGAAGCTTTTTTCGATCCATAGGGGGATCTCAGGTCAAGATTAGAGCAAGAGTACATTTGGCAGACACTTGGATAATAGAAGCCACCAATCAGCTTCCGTTTGTTTCACAAATCGGTAAAATTTAAGCTCTATCCTGACCATCACTTTTTCAATGTCCTATTTCACATGAATTCCACTGCTCAATGCTGGTTCCTGAGGAAGCTCTACCTTCTCAAGTCCGTCTGCTAACTGCTTGAAGACTCAAAGGATCTTGATCTCCAATCATTGTGCTAATGTCGCTTTCACAGTTTTAAAGACAAGAAGAAAATTGGGAAATGTGCAAAAAAGATGAGACACTTGTGAACTAGGCTGGTACTTTTAATTGTAAGGCAGAAAAAAACCACAAATTCAGATAGTATAAGCTGGAAATTGATTATTTTAAGTGACCTTTTCGTCCATTCTTTCACTTTCATAAGAAAGAATGGACGAAAATGTTTTAATGCACAACGACATGACCGAATCACTTTTTCGAACGGTCTCTCCAATTCTCCAATGCACGTTACGGTCTAGGCGCGTCATAACATCTTTTCTGTTGAATATACACTAATAAACTAATGTAAAACGCACAGTCCGAATAGCTTTTGATAGCGATGACTTAGAATCATAACGGGTACAAAAGCTAGAACTTCACTTCGATTTTCGAACTTCTTTCTACTCGACTATGGTTTGTGTGTCGCTGGTAGGGCAGTTGATATTGCCCTAGAGTCTTTTTTTTCTTTGATACAATGGGAAACTTGATTTTCCTATCCATTTGCTGGACAAGCACAGTCAAAGCGTTGCATTGTCATTGCGTCAGTTGTTCTTGTACCTTTAGATTGATGGCCTCCTTCTGCGACTTCTTGTTCGGGCCTTCTGTCTAGGATTGTTCTTCATGTAGTACACCATTCATGATTTTGGTATATAATCGAATCTCATTCGTTCATATTAAGGTGCCTTCTCGTGCCATACACCCTCAGCCATGGTGCGGACAGCATCAGACAAGTAGTGATGTTTCTTCTAGAAATGTCTACAACTACAGTAACCAAGAGGATAAAGAGAAAACACCAATGTGTCGCATAGCGGAGCTTGCTCGCTTTCACAAAGTAAGCTTTTATCCCTGTTGACGTCATCTTTTACACAGGTGCTTCCTGTTTTTTATGCCTAGCCCCACTTTGTCTTCAGTAGATAGATAGGTAACAGGAATGCTCGTTCTCTGTATCTGTACTTAAGGAAACCGGAAATTTAATAAGGTGGCTGTGACTCTACATCATTATTTGATGTTCGGAACAGAGAGAGTATTCGATGCAGTGAAGACCTACCAAATTTTGTCATAATTCCAAAAAAGGATGGTTAAAACGGCGGGAACAGACAGGGGCGATATAGAAAGAAAAAAAAACTCGTCGAATTGCTGCTATCTTCATAGGTTTTTTACTGCTGTTTCCAATTTGATGTGGCTGAACTATTCATGTGAAGATGCTTAGATCATAAGGCGTTTTGCAGTTGAAGCACGAATACAAACTTATGGATGAGAGTGGTCCAGCTCATAAAAAAATGTTCACAGTACAACTGTTTTTAACTACGGATGAGGTTAGTTGTTGTTTCTCTTTTTCTGATTTTACTTTATTCGATGTCAGTTCCTTTGTCCTCAATTTTGCTTCGGCGAGAGTTCATGCAAAATGGATGATTCACTTTGCAGGTATTCGAAGGTAGTGGTGCTTCAATAAAGAAAGCTCAGCAAGCGGCCGCTGCAGCTGCACTAGCAGGCACATCCCTAGCGATGCCACCGGAAAAGAAGAGGAAAAAAGGTGATGAGCTCTCTTTTCTTTCGAGCAGGCAGTGCAGCCTAATACATATTTCTCTTATGCGAATGTTCAAAAAGGTTTTTGCTCAAATTTGTGTTTTTTTTTTTGAAGATTTTCCTTTGACCACGAGCCTAGTCTTCACACTCGTTTATAATTTGCTAGTAAGTTACTTCACATAATTAACTTCTTATTTCAGATACAAGCTCACCGCCCGTTCTTCTATCACATGTGGCTCGTCGGCTTGGTCTCCCTGAGCCGATTTATCGGTCTCATTCACAAGCGAAGATGCCGCTCTCGCCGATAACTGTAAGAATGACTCATTAATTTTTAGAAGAGCTCCTCTCTATAACAGGGTGACTTCCTTGAGATTCAGAGGCGGTTCATTGATGTCAAGACAAGAAGTTCAGAAATTATTATTGTATTTTATTTTTTAGCCTCGTTTCACTGCGCTTGGTCCTTCATTAGCTTGTAATGGAACGCAGAATGGGTGAGTACAATTCCTTTTGATGGAATTTTCGATTCACTGCCAGTCACGAAAACCTTTTGTTAAAGTTTCGATCGTGCTGGATGCTTCCCACAAGATCCCTATGCCCCTGCACATCATATACCATCGAGAGTGCCAAGAGGTTTGTTATTTGCAATGAGGACTCTATTATTTTTTATAATGGTTGAAAAGTCATTAAAAGAGCTACTATTCCCAACATATTCATTGATATTACTTGAATACTGCAAAAGGGTATGAGTTCTCTAACTTATCCTCAGTAACGTAGCATTCTGAATAAAGGATTTGACATGAGCAGCTCGATTGGAAAAGCCGTGCCATGGTTCGTAGGCTTGAATGTTAGAGTGATGTTGGATTGAAATTTATTTTCTGAAAACGCAATTTCTGCGCTGAAACTGAAGGATCAAAATCATCAAAGCAATGTTTTTTAGTGCAGCGGTGTAACACGCTCATGTAACCTCATCTTAGTGATTGACTTTTACAGTACTGCAGCATTTAAAGATTGCGTCGTAAAGTTGTCGATATGCTGAATGACAAAACTTAACTGTCTTCATAAAATTTTTAAGTAGCCAATGATTGAGTGTTTTTCCCTCCCAAATTCATGAATCGTGTATTTTTTCATGTTGAATGTTCCATGTTTTCTAGGACCTCTACTTGGACCACTACCGCCAGTGAATCCACTCTTTATGGTTCCTCCAACATCTCGTTCCGGAGCAGTGTTCCCTATGCCGACGCCGACAGGTGAACGTATCTGTATGGTTAGCGTTGCCATTGGACCCGGTCTTATGTTTACCGGCATTGGGAATACCTTTGCGTTGGCTAAGGCGAGTGCGGCTGCTCAGGTTCGTGACAATTTGACTACTTCCTTTGTCTCTTTTATCGCCATGCAATGTGTGTCGTCTAGTGCTTGGGTTTCCTCGGTCCTCATATACAAGCACTCGATGCGAAACTGAAAATGGATGAGCAGAAACGTAAAAATGCTCAGCAAAAGTCTTCACCACAACAGACGGATTCGGCTTCTGCAAACGGGGGCGGTACTGAAGATGTTTCAGAGCAGGTAGGTGGCCTACCCAAATTTGAAAAGATGCTATCGTCATACTCGTTGACTGTGTATTTCACAGTAATGTCCTACATCCGGTCGCGCTCCTCTTTGACGTTACATTTATGACACACTAGGAATGAATGCTCGTGGAAGTTCGTTGTAATATAAGAGGCGTATGGGTTTATACGATTGGAAAAGTCGTTAATCACGATCACTTGACATGCCAAAACTATTTTTTAAAAACTTAGAACAGCGCCTGTTGAGAAACTAATCAATGACGAGGATTGTGTAGTCTTTCTAGTTGTATTTAGATTTCGATCAGGGTTTCTTCTGGCTTAAATTGATATTATTTTTGAGAAATTTATTTTCACCTTGATTTCCTTTATTAATTTATCTTCTACCAACCCTCGGACCTTTACTATTACTTGGAAATCTTCAGGAAACAAATGGAGAAGGCGATGCGCTTCCAAAGCATAAGCAAAAATCGGTGATCAGCCAAGTTCATGAATGCGCTCTTCAAATGAAACTCAATGTCGAATTCGAGGTATGCCCCTATATTACGCCTTCTTGTGACAATAATCTTTTTAATTCTTGGTCTTTTAGGTGGTCAAAGAAGTCGGTCCACCCCATGATCGTTCATATGTAGTTCGGTGTTCTTTGAAGAATCCTAAGAACGAGGTAATTCAGAGGGCCACAGATAACTTTTGATCCAGTAGTGCTTGGAATTTTCGATATTTCTACTTTATTATGAATTTTTACTGTGTGAGTTTTAAAGGTTGTTGTCGAGACTGTTGGCGAAGGACGTAAGAAAAAAGAGGCTACTCAAAGTGCGTGTGCAAACGTTCTTTCTCGACTGAGCGGCATTGGTAATTTATCTAGCATTGCTGTTGGATAACTTCCCATGTTTACTGATCTATAAGTGCTGGTATTTCAGAGAATTCACCGCTTTTCATTGCATCATCGCTATACAAACTGCAAAAACGTGTTCTGAATCCGTCGAGAGAACCGAAAAGGAAGACTATAATAAAGGTATAAACTATTGTAGAGCACATGGTGTTTTGTCAGGTAATAGGTACTAAGTCACGTAGTTAGCTGGAGAGCAAGGCTATGTTAAAAGCTATATGTCATTCATGAAAAAGTGAAACGAATCACGTCGCTTTCACGATGTTACCGCAGTGCTGCATGCATGAGAAATGGGGGCAGAAAGCGAGGGTATGATCAGTGCATTGGCGTTGGCAAGAAGAGAAAGCAGGAAGTGAAGTCATTCGGAAATGCCTATTTGTGTGGTTTTGAGAGAGCTATAATTTAATTCCTTTTCAATGTCCTGAACGTTCGAATCGCGTTTCTATCTGAATGCTCTAATATCTGATATATTGTTTATTGTTTATTGTTTAATACGTCATTCGACATGCCGTCAAAAACATAGACATGAGGCGTAGAGACAAAAACTCAAACTAAAGAACTAATTACCATA